ATGGTGGTGGCTTCTGTGAAAAGGAGAGGGACAGAGTGGGCAGGAACTCCAGGGTAGCCTGTGACATCATAGTTTCTCCACTCAACACCCCATCTTATCCATCAATTCCAAGCACAGTGCCTGACTTAAGATAGAGACTGAAGATGCATTTGCTAAATGAAGAAATAAATTAATTAACACCATACTTTATACAAAATATTGAGACAGCCGATTTTTACTGTTCCTTACTCTTCTGAATTTCTTAGTCAGACATCTGTGGCTGCCTCTCCAGCATCCATGTCTATCTTTTCCCATTCCAACATAAATCCAGATTTTCTAATCATGTGGTTTCCCCAAGTTCCAGTGGGGTCCTGATTGGTTTAGGGCAGTTAGCACATCCCAACTCTTTGACCACAGTGATGAACTCAGGAATGGACAGTTCAGGTCAATTAGGGCTGAGATTCAATGTTGAGACTTTGTAGTGTCAAAAAGGTAGACTGTCTCTTTACCTGTTACTTTTTAATATGGAAGTGATAGCCCTGGTATTGTCTGTGGCTATCCGGGGATCACAAAGAAAGAATATTTGAAGTGTAGAGCCAAATCCAGGAAAGTGGAGCCAACACAGGAAGAAATATGCACTGTGTTCTGGTAATGTCATCTGAGTTTCCAGAACAAGTCAAGCCTGAAGCCAGTGCCTCTGGACTTTTTGCTCAAGTCAATCAATGTGATTAAGTATTCTGTTACTTGCAGCCCAGAGCATTGCAATTAGCATTGAAACTTAGAAGCAGCTTCTTATAATGAATCATTAGAAGACAACTAATATTCTTTTAGAAATGATGTCATAATTGGGACAAATTCTTCATCACAAGAATCTGACATTAACCAAGTCAAATTTACAGTCAAAAATAGTCAATAAAAGCAAAAAGATAGCTATACAGATCCCTCATCATTGCAAATCACACATTTTTAAACCAAGACTTATAAACTGTGGCATAAATATACCGCATGCAGTAAATATATGAGAGATTTGATAGTATCAAATTCTAGAGTTTACAAAATGTGTGATGGAAGAATACAGATTACATAAATGATATGCTAACAAGTTTGACATCAGTATTTAAAAGTAATCTCTGAAGGATGATTTGTGAGTACTTCACAGAGAAGAGCTTGGAGATTCCTGAAGTCAGAATGCGTTCACCAACAGGTGAACAAACACAAAACAAATTTAATATTCAGATAGCTTTGCTGCATTTTCAGACCAGGGAAATGCTATAGTTTTAACACATTTGGATTTCTGTAAGTATCACATGAAGGTCTGTAGGCCTTCAGATTCTTTCTAGTCATTCTTCAAGGCTCACATGCAAATTTAGCTTCTTCTGTAAAGTCTTCTGTGATCCCAGGAAGTAGATCCCAGTAGTATTTTGTTACCAGAATCCATTTTAATTTTAAGTGTGTTGGCTTACATTTGTCTCCCTTACTAGACTACAAATTGGAGGAAAGTATAAACCACACTATTCATTGTTTATTCCTAATATCCTCCAATATTCAGAAAGCATTTGCTAAAAGATTAAATGAATGGATCATATTCTTAGGGAATGAGATGAGGTAGCATGAGCTTGGTAATAATATTGTGAGGTATATACAGATGTCTAAGTGGCCTAAAGTCAAAGAATGCATGAAACAGAGCCCAGGTGACTATTAGTTGGGTGTAACAAGGAAGAACTTTACATATGCTATTACTATATTTCACCATGTATAATGTGCATTGTTTTGCCAAAATTTTAGAGGGGAAAAAATAAGAATATGCATTATACATGAGTAGTATGGCTTGGTGGGGCCTCCTGGGGTCTGCAGGCCACCAGGTGCACAGGGTTCCAGTCTGGGAAGATGTGGGATCCAGTGGGAACGGGCAAGTGGCTTCTACCGAACATCTTGATTGAGGAAGGGGTAGTGACAGGGCTGGTGAGGTGGGCTGCGGCTGTGTGGGGACAAGGGCCAGCCCTGCAGAGGTTACTGGGAACCCCACACAGGCTCCAAGGACCCTGCTGGCCTGTGTCAGAAGCTCCCACCCTGCCAGCCATGCCTGTGGCCATCTTGGCTTCAATCTGATGTGGCAGGGAGAGAAGGGCTGGCAGGAGAGAGGGAAGGGGCAGCCTTCACCGAGTGGGCATCTGTGGGAAGGTGTTGCTATCTGCACGCTTACCAGGGGAGCACGAGCCCTCTCCTGGTGTGTCTCTCCCAAGCTGACAACACACCACTTCCTCAAGGAGCATGTTTCTGAAAGTTCAAGCCAAAAACATGGGTGTGCATTATACACGGGAGCTCATGTTACACAGCAAAATACGGTAGGTTTGGACTAACAGCCCTTTTGCAGGTCAGCTTTTATGACTCTAGAGCAAATTAAAAAACTACAACTTGGTTGGATCCAAAAGTGAAACTTAAAACTAATATATGAAGGTAAAATTGATATTGTGACACGGAATCAGCAACCCTTTTTCTCGCTTCCTCAGGACACAGAAGTGCTTTTAAAGGGATCTATTGGGTGGCACAAGGTCTCTTCGAAAAAGGAAAAGTGACTTGAGCCAATACCGTCTTTTCCCTTCAGCAAAGTTCCCTGCCATGTATTCACTCAGCAAATATTTATTAGGTAGTTAATGCACGCAAGGCTGTGTGCATGCAGTGTGCAGGACTCAGTAAGTCAGAGAACACTCCGTACCTCTCACTACAGATATTTTGTTGATTTACTGTCAGAGCACTTCACACTCCATTAGGAAACAAACAAAAAATGCCATCCAATTACTAAGTCATTAGCTCTGCCTTTTAAAATAGAAGATCGGGACGTGAAGCATTAGATTGGAGGGCCCCTTAGAGACCCTGTACAACCCCTTTATTTCACAGATGGAAGATCAGACCAGTGTAACGAAGAACGAGGTGCCTCTGCATGTGCTGACAACAAGGAGGGATAAAAACAAGATGTTTGTGAAGGGAAACAAGTAAGCTGAGGGGACACCAAGTGCAGCCCAAAGCCACTTTCACAAAACAACACAAAAACGACAACAAAAATGCCTGCATGCTAAGCATGGGTTTTTCAACAACTGGAAGGCTGTGTCTTCTAAAATTGACGGGGGTTAGCTACTGGGAAGGAGGAAGAGGGGGTTGAAAATACTGGTGTGTGGATTGTGGGGAACTTTTACTCTCCGCTTCATGTATTTCCCAAATGTTTGGTTTTTACGTAATTTTGTATTGCTTTTTGTAGCAAATATATACATAAATGTATAGAAGTGTGCGTATGTCAGTGCATTTGTGTGTTTATAGTGTATGTATTTTTTTTTTTT